CCCAAGCCAATTACAAGACCCTTACTCTGTGCTCAGGATTGTCCTTAGCTTTAGGGTTAGGGTGGAGAGAGGACACAAAATATCCAAAATATCGGCGTGCTTGCTGCCCTCAGGGTCCTCAATATGTATTTGGAGAGAAAGAATGCACTCTTGAGAAATAGTTGGGTCAAAATCATAAAAATGCCAACATGTGTGACACAACGAGGTAAGCGCTAGAGGCACTGGGAGGAGAGAGGGAGCCCCGGGGCCCGAGGGCGCTCACAAAATGTGCGTGACAAGCTGGCATTTAAGCCGCAGCCTGAGGAATGCTCAGATTTTGATCGGTGCAGAGAAAGTCGGGCCATAGAGGTAGAGGGGATGGCGGCAACTGCGCGTGGGCAGGACGGAACAGGCGCTGTCCCGGGCGGGGAGCTGGTCCCACGGCAGCGTAGAACGGCAAAGCGGCGAGAACGAAGCTGTATCAAGGGATCAAGCTGGGGCAGCCCGGGGGGGGGGGGGGGCTCAGCGCCAGGGCGTGATCCTGGAGACCCGGGATCGAGTCCCGCATCGGGCTCCCTGCATGGAGCCTGCTTCTCCCTCTGCCTGTGGCTCTGCCTCTCTGTGTGTGTCATGAATAAATAAATAAAATCTTTAAAAAAAAGGCGGGGGGGATCAAGTTCTAGGGCCGAAGACGTGGAGAATGACCAAGAAGCAAGATGGGAAGCGTAAACTGTGTCAGGAGGCTGCGCTTCCTGGATCTCACGCGTCCGTCCATACATCTAAGCGTTAAGAACTAACTTCCTTCAGACGCTCCTTTCAAGAATGTTCACAGAAGCCAACGGCCTCGGAGCGCTGGACGGGGACTTCCTCTGGAGCAGACCCGATTACAGGGTAACACAGGCAGGGATGTCTCCCTTCCCTCCTTGGACCAGATTTGTTTCCCTTCCAGGGTAGTGAAGACTTGCTGCAGCTTTATCTCCTTTATTAATACAGCTGAAGGACTTCATTCTAGAAGGATGCAGCGAGGTCATAGGGTGAGGAGCAGGCCTGAAATAGCTGCTGCGGGGAGTGTGCAAGAGAATAAACCACAAATGAGGAAAAGAACCAAGAATGCTTCTTTCCACACAGACCCAACCCATGGAGGAAGGGGGATGGACATTTTCAGAATGTGCACCTCCCAGTCACTCCGTACCTGCAGGCCTCCTGGACCTATGCAGGCCGAGCTGCACTGAGCCAGGGGTTAGGGGGGTCCTAAAGGGTTTTGTCTACCTCCGAGTCACAGGCCACGGATGCGGCTCCAAATGCCCAGTCCTGCCTGGTCCCGTCATTGAGAATCTCAAATTGGCGCGGACAAGTGAAGCTCACAGTAGAGCCGACTCTTGGGTTTAGGATCACAGTCTGTGACTGGCACCTCTCTGGTGGGCAGAGGATTCAGCCAGGGTGACGGTGGGGGGGGGGGGCAATCTCTTGTCTCTACCCTCTTGCCCTCCCCCTTGCTCTCAGGGGTAGGACATTCATCTGCGCTGCCTCAGAGCTCCCCGCTGCCCATCTCCACTCACGCCGGGGACTGCTGGACCAGGCCAGCATCTTGCTTCCAGAGACAAAGTCGGCTGCTCTCGAGAAACTTCCAGCTTCCCCTAGAAGAAGCGTGATTCCATATGGACTACCAGTATATTGAGTGCTGACAACGTGTCTGATGCCATTATGTGCGTAGCACGCATTATCTTATTTAATCTATTTAATAACTCTGTAACCCTGGGCAGTCGGGTCCTTTTTTTCTCTTTGGGCAGGTACTTTTATCTTTTATTTATTTTTGGGGGGGGGGGCAGGTACTTTTAATGTCTTCATTCCCCACTTGGGGCTCCTAAGGCTCAGAGAGGTCAAATAACTTACTGAAGGTCGCACATCTGAGATTTGAGCGCACGTCACTGGCCTCCAGAGCCCGTGGTCTTACCTGCTATACCATCCTGCCACCCTCTGCCCCTGCAGGTGGGCCTTTCCTGGTCATCCGGGCCAGGTAAGACCACCCTAAGCATCACTTACACTGGTTGCAGTTCCCTGTGTCCACTGCCACTACCACCACTGATTTGGCTAGGAGATTGGAGGCCTCCCTTCCTTCCTTCCTTTCCCCTCCGTTCTAGCACAGGGGAGAGGCTATGCCAGGATGCCCCGGCACGCGAGACGTAAATGTTTCAGGTGGAAGTGGATTCGAAGCCTGGACAATTCTTGCCGGCCGCCGAGTGGGTGGGCAGCGGTCCCTCACTGCAGGGGCTGGAGGAGCCCGTACTCCTGGGCTCTGGGCTCCTCGCCGCGAGGCCTTCAAGGGAAGACTCTCAGCCTCCGTGAGCCCACAGTCCCCGCGGCTCCAGGGAGCAGAACGCTTCAGGCGGAGTCGGAACAGAAAAGTGACCTGTTGTTTTTTTTTTTTAAGATGTTATTTATTTATTTTTGAGAGACACAGAGAGAAGCAGAAACACAGAGGGAGAAGCAGGTTCCCCACAAGGAGCCCGATGCGGGACTCGATCCGGGACTCCAGGATCATGCCCTGAGCCAAAGGCAGATGCCCAACCGCTGAGCCACCCAGGCGTCCCAGGGACCTGTTTTGAATTGCGGGCCCCGAGGCAGCGAGACGCGAGGGTTTACGTGCAGGAGCACTGGCTAGGAGGCCCTGAGTCCCGCCTTGAGGTTTGGAGGTGGTGGATTTATTTTCTGAAGAGACCACTGGACCCAGAGGGAAGGTCACGTCGGCCACATGGTACAAAGAAGGCTGCCCCCGGGGACGGAAGGCGGCTATTTGCAGTCAGGCCCTGATTGCTTTTTGGGGGAGGAGTGAACATTATTGGCAAAAAGCCTAAGAAAGAAAAATCTTTGGAAGCTGGAAAGAGAGCTGCTTTTAGTGGACTGGGGACTAGAGGTTGGCCAAGGCGGCTCCAGAGCCAGGGATCCCAGAAGATGATGCCTCTTCCAGAAAGTTCCTGCCAGAGAAGAGAGTGAAGACTGAGTGGCCCAAGGTGGGGTTGGGCTAGAGGCTTGTTGGCAGGTGCAGGACGCATCCCTTCCACCCGACGTATCAAACTGGAGCCCGGTTCAGGCCAGCTCAGGTCCTCTGTCGTACCCCCTGGGCTGCCCACCCTGCCTGCTCCCTGCAAAACTACCGCGTCCTCAGTTGGACTCTTAACTTAAATTGCTTGCACCTGTCTTGCTTTACTTTGCCTTATAGTATAATTCATTTTTGCGCCATAAATCATACATTTTTTAAAATTATACATTTTCAAGAGAATAAGCGTGTTGTAATTATTTCTGTATCTCTCACGCCTTAGCGCCTGGCAGGCTGTATATACGCGGCAGTGGCTAAGTAATGCGTGAGTGAGAACCAGGTGAGGAAGGGGGCGTGTGTGTTGAAGGTACTTACGGCTGAAGGAGAGAAAGAGAAAGATGGGAGAAGAGGTGGGGGGGTGGGGAGAAGACAGGAACCCAGGAAGCGAGGCAATAAATAATCGTAAATAACTGGGTAAAAGATTACAATAACTGCCAATAATCGTTGTGTGTTTGCCACGTACCAGGTATAGCAGCTGCCTGGTTCACGTGCATGTTTGAACCTGAGGTTCCCAACAATCTTACAAGGTTGGTACCTTGGGGGCGCCTGGGTGGCTCAGCGGTGGAGCGTCCACCTGCGGCTCAGGCCGTGACCCCGGGGTCCCGGGATCGAGTCCCGCATCGGGCTCCCGGCATGAGGCCTGCTTCTCCCTCTGCCTGTGTCTCTGCCTCTCTCTCTCTGTGTCTCTAATAAATAAATAAAAAACCTTTTAAAAAATAAAGATTAAAAAAAAATAAAAAGGACAGCCCCCAGGATTGTCCAAGCCCTTCCTCTTGGGGCCACCGGCCTCGCCTCTGCACCCCGGTCCTGCCGGGCACTGCCATCCCCTCCTCAGCCTTCACCTAAAGCTGGACTAGTGGGCGTTAAATGCAGGGCCAAGTTTTTGTCCCAGACGATCCCTGGACTCAGCAGATGCTGATCAGGTGACTGTCTCTCTCTGGCTTAGGATGGAAAGACGCCAGGAAAGATCGAAGCATCTACCCTGATGGGTTACACCAGGGCTTCTAGAAGGGATTTTGTGGCAGGAGCGGGGGGGCAGGAGATTGGGTGTCTCTGTGCCTTGTGCAGGCGGCATGATGGATGAGCCGTGGAAAGCCCTCGGATGAAACATGCCAGACCCGCTGCAATAGTATCCCTCCCAACAGCCCAGAATTATATTTCCCTGAAGACACCCTCAGTCGTGCTCTGGATTTATACGTGGGTGGCCACCTGCCGGAGCCGCCTCGGTGCTCCCAGAGGTCTGGGTACAGATGCCCAGCAAAGGAAGGTGCAGAGGGGACGGAGGGAGGTCTGAACCCCCTTCCCAAGGGCCTTGGCACTTCACGGAAAGGGAAGGGGTCCTTTAAGGGTTGCCCGGCTGTGCAGGTCCTGCTCCCCCCCGCCCCCCCCCGCCCAGCCGCTGGGTTCAATCTGGGCACACGGGGAACGTTTATTTTCTCTGTCAAGAAGAGGCTGCGCCCCCGGGTTCCCCCTCACAGACCGAGGGGGTGGGTGGGAATCACGCTCCCCTTCGTGTGCCTGTAGACAACGGGATACAATAGCAGGGCCCGAGGCCCACGCAGACCCCGCGACGTCCCCGCAGGACAGAGAAGCCCGAGGCTGGCGGGGCTCCCCCGGCCGCCCGCCCCGCCCCGGCCGCCCTGCTCTCCTGGCTCCCCGGCCCTCGGCCAACCTCTGCATTTTTGTATCTTTTTCTCATTGCGTGGCCCCCTTGTCTTTAAAAGGCTAAATGCTCGGTACTAAATTTGGTCACACAGAGCTCCAAGATTCCCTGGAATGTCCTCAAGTTTCAAACAGCTCTGACAGCAAGGCCGGCCCGCCCCTTCGTGGGGATTGGCTCGTGCCCTCCGGGCCCGCGGTCGTCGAGCCCTATTGGCCGCTGGGTCCCCCGCCAGGGTCCCCTCCCGGGTCCCCTCCCGGCTCCCGAGCCAGCCTGCAGTTACCACTTGGGCACCGGTGGCACCGCAGGGCAGGCCGGAGGAGCCCGTCCTCGACCAGCCGGGGGTCTGCTCCCAAGCCCGTCGGCTCCCCCCGGACCAGCCGGTGCCCCGCGGCCCTCCAGGCCCCCCCTTCCCCGCGGCCCTCCAGGCCCCCCGCGGCCCCGCATCAGCCGAGATGTCTAAGGTGGCCAAGTACCGCCGGCAGGTGAGCGAGGACCCCGACATCGACAGCCTGCTGTCCACGCTGTCCCCCGAGGAGATGGAGGAGCTGGAGAAGGAGCTGGACGCGGCGGACCCGGACGGGAGCATCCCTGTGGGGCTGCGGCAGAGAAACCAGACGGAGAAGCCGGCCACGGGCATGTACAACCGGGAGGCTATGCTCAACTTCTGCGAGAAGGAGACCAAGAAACTTATTCAGAGGGAGCTGTCCGTGGACGTGAGTGAGCGGCTGCGGGAGGGGGGGCGGCGGGGGGCCGGGGGAGCCGGGGGGACCCCACCCCGCGCCCACGTCGCCTCTGGCAAAGATGTCAGGCTGCCCGCTGGCGCCTGCTGAGCGGGAGGGTGAGACCCCCCGCAGAGCCGGCGGGTTGGCGGCCTCAGCATCCCCCCTGGAGCGGGACCTGGAGAAGGGCCTCGAGGCTCGTGTCAGGCTGACCCCGTCCTCCTCCCCCAGCGCTTCCCCCTCCGCGTGCATCTCACCCCTTGTGTGTCTGGGGGGCAGTTGGGGGCTGAGGGTGGAATGATGCTCGCAGGCCTTGGCGGCCACCCCAGGGAGGACAGCCGGCCCTCGGCTGTGCGGGCAGCTGCGGCACACGGACCGTCGGAGGAGGCGGAGCGGGGGGCAGGTGGGCTTGCCAAAGTGGGTGACGGGCGTCAGGGCTCCACGAGGCGGAAATGCGCCTTAAGCTGCCGCCTCAGCTTCCCTGCCGGGGAAGTTGGGGTTTGCACTTCCTGGGGAGCATCCCCTCCGCCCTTTGGTACCGAGCCCTTTGGCAAGCCAGCCCGGCCCTTCAGCTCGGGGGTAAAGATCCTCGCCAGCAGGGTTTTGCCCCAGGAGGGCACAGAGGAGGGGCGAGGCGAGGAGCCCGTTCTGGAAACCTCTGCCCACAGGAGGCGGGGCTGAAGAACGCTTTCTGCTTTCCTGGGTTGGGCTGGAGGGGTTCCTTTCCCACCATGTGTTCATCTGCGGGTTTTCGTGGGGCAGCCTCGCCTGCCCCCCGAGTGTGAGCCGTAGAGCCCCTTGTCCCGGCGCAGGCTCAGCAGGGAGCGTCTACGCGGCCGGGACCGTGTCCCTCCCGGGGATTCTCGCATCAGATAGTTCAGCCTGGACTCTCGTCCTTTGTTCCACTCCTGCGGAGACCAAGGCCCAGAGCGTCCGGTGACGCGTCCATTCCCACAGAGGAAGAGAGAGAGGCCAGCCTCGCCCTGGACCTCCTGTGGCCCGCCCAGCCGGGTAGGAGACGGGGGCGGCACAGGTCGCAGAGCCCGTCCGCTGGGGGAAGGGAGGTGGGGCGCCTGGGGCCCTGTGTGCGGCCCTGACCCCCCCCACACACCCGGCCGGTGTTTAAGGCTTCACCAAGGAGTTGAAAGTGAGGGGAGTGGGAAGGCTCATAAACCCGTTACCCCGTGGGCAAGGTGAGTGCCCGGGACGCGGCGTGGACACCGATGAGCAAATCTAGAAGGTGGAGAGGACACAGGGGGCTCGCAGCCAGGGCCTGCGGCTTCGAGGCAGCCATCAGGACACGTAGGGGGGCCCTGAAGCACCCGAGGCCTCGGCCTCCCTGCAGGCGCCCCACTGCGGCCCCGACTCTCAGTCTGGAGCCCGGCCCTCCTCTTCCCTACTGCTGGTCCCGGCCTGTGCCCAGGGGCATCTGGTGGGCAGAAAGACCCTCCTGGGGCTGAAGGCAAATGCAGAGCATCCTTAATCCCCAGTGAAATACTTAGGCCAAGGGGACTGTGGGGACCGTGGGGACCGTGGGGACCGTGGGGACCTGATTCTCGTGCTTCTGGAAACTGAATTCTCTAAAGGCCTTGTCCTCCGCCGACTGAAACCCGGGTGAGCTTCACCTGCCCGCGCCGCCCCCCCCACCCCGCCGGGGCGCACTTGGTTCTGCCCACGGAGCCGCGCCAGGGCAGGGAGGGTGGGCGCGCGTGAGCGTCCTTGGTGTGGGAAGACGGCCTCAGGGCCGTCCCTGCCCTGTCCAGACAGGCTGTCCCCTCCCTTCCCCATCCAGCCCGAGGGCGGGTGGGGGCAGCGAGGCGGGAGGTCAGGGCCGTGACAGAGCCACGGACCTCATCTCTGGAATCTGGGTGAATGGCAGGACGCCCGCTGCCCTTCCCATTGGCGAGCTGGGGTCGCTGGGGGCGAGGCCCGCCTTCCTCTGCGTCCCCTGCAAGCTACCTGGTGACTCGCCCCCTCGGCCACACGGTGCCCAGCCCGGGATTGTCGCAGCAACGGAGGGACAACGGTGCGAGGCAATGGCCTTGGCACATAATAAACGAGCCCTAAGTGGAGGCCGTGAAAGGACCACTCGTTTCTCCGCCCGCCCAGCCCTCCCTCCTCAGTCCCTGCAGAGGGCTGAGCAGTCAAGCCCGCCACTCAAGGCGGGGCCGGGAGGGGCAGCAGCTCCAGGAGGGGCTCCAGGCTGGGCGGCTGCAGCTCCCACTGACAGGGGCCCTTGCTCCCTGCGAGGACCCGGGGCGTAGACCGGCTCTAGGAAGTGTAGCCAGATGAGCGTATACCGAGAACCTTCTAGATGCACGTGCTCACCCCTTCCTTTATTTAAGCCTCCCCCTTGTTGGGAGATGGGTGTTCTAATCCCCATGGCACAGAGCAGGAAACTGAGGCCCAGAGAAGCTGAGTAACTGCCCTAGGCTCACGCAGCATCCCGCGTGAAGCCAGCTGGGCTTCGAGGACGCTGCTTCCTCCTCCCTGCCTCCGAGCGTGCAAACCAGGGCAGCAACCCGGGCCCGTCCTGAAGAGCCGATCATCCAGTTAGGATCACAAGACACACACGAGCAGAACCACCGCAGAGCTGGGACAGGCTCGGGCGCCGTCCCAGGAGCAGCAGGCGCCCACGGGGTCTCGCTGGCCGAGTCGTCATCCTGCCCCCAGGACTAGGAGCATCCATATGAGGACCACGGGTGGACAGGTGGGGCGATGGTATTGGGGCATACTCTTAAAGTTAGCCTTGCCTTTTAGACACAAATACTGAAATATTTATGGGGAAAAGTGATAGGATTAGGGGATTTGCTTTAGCACAAGGTGGACACGGGGACTGAGGAGGGAGATGGATGAGATGGGATTGCCCGCCGCTGACAGCTGTTGAGGCTGGAGGGTGGCTGTGCCGCGTCCCCATCACACGGTTCTCTCTCCTTTTGTGCATACGTTTGACGTTTCCCACAACAACGTGTTGGGCTGTTTTTTTTTTTAGACAGAAACTGAGAGTGGAAGGCAGGCCCAGTTTGGGTCCTAGGCTCTGGTTTCTCCGGGGGGGTTGGGGGTCCCCAAGATTCATACTCCGGCTACCGTGCCAGGTGGGTGTCGAGGGTGGAAGGGGCGTCAGGTGGCTTCTCCGTCAGTGGCGAGAACACTCCGGGGCCGGCCTGGGTTGGTTTGTCCCATCCCTCATGAGTATTTCTCCCCCCTACTCACCCCCGTGCCTCCTCCGGGTCGCAGGTGCCACTCCTGACTGCAGGGCAAGGTCGGGCTCCGTGTCTGGTCTGAGCGTTCCCGTGCCCCTCGGCACCAACCCACCCCGTTTTCTTGCCTCCCTCCCTCCCTCCCTCCTCCCTCCCTCGCCAGCCTGTGTGATTCTGCAGGACAAGCGCTGACCTGGGGCCTGGCCCAAGGTGGGCCCTCCGCCTCTGTTTGTTGAATGAACCTTAGGAGTGGGAGCTGGGGCTCAGCAGGACTGACCCCTGGCTTCCCTCCCTCCCTTTGAAGGGGCAGCCCTGTCAGCCTGGGCCCCCGGGGACTCGCCTGCTGCTCAGGTGGAAGACAAAGCCCCGGGCAGGTGTGTGGCCAACAGTTCAGTGAAACCCTTGTGCGCGGCTCAGGTTTCAGGAACCTGATCCCAGCAGGTCAACTCGTGTGTTCTCTTTCCTTCCCAAGTGGGAAAGAAAATCTGCAGCCTGCCTCCCCTGTCCTTCTCCCTGGCATTACCAGGGGCCGGGATTAGCACCTCCACGCAGCCAGCAGCAGGCGCAGCTGAACCAGGGGCGGAGGAAGCTCTTTGAGGTTCTCCCTTGAGGGGCTAACCAGAAGCACCCCACGAGCCGGTCGCCCAGCCTCCTGACCTGCCCCTCGGGCCTCGGGCTCACGCAGCCGCTCCCCTCCCACCCAGGCTCCGTTCGTGGCCCAGTGTCCACGGCCCCTCTGCAGGGACGGGGATGCCGGGCGGCCCGAGGCCGGCAGCACGAGCCCTCAGTTTGCCCTTTGCAGAGGGCTGGGCCCTATCAGGAGTGCACTGGGCAGCACGACTCAACGATTAAGGAGATTAACCCCGACTGGTACACACCCGAAATAGCCCTGGAGGCTGGGGCGGAGAGGGCAGCAGAGGTGATGGGGCCCGTGGACCTGGGGAGGCAACAGCAGGCAGCCAGTGAGGGTTAGACAAGTTGAAAAATCTCTCCCGGGAGGTGGAAGGTGCCTCCTTCCAGAGTTTGAAAACGCAGCTCCGCGATCTCTTAAACAAGTGGTAGGATCCACAGGTGCTTGTTTCATTGTTGTCCTTGCTCCTGTCTTATACGTTTTCCTCTGTGCGTGTGCGGCGTTGGATTCGATGGACTGTAAGCCCCGAGGCCCCAGCACCCGCTCCCACGTCGGCGCCACCCGTCCCTGGTGCCCGCGGGGATGAGCTCGGGCAGAGGGAGCGTGGATGAGCCTGGCAGGAGGGGGGGGGCACACAGGGCCGAGGAGGAGATGCAGAAATGAAGCGGCCCCCGGGGCGCAGGGGGTGCGATGGTGGAGGGGGGGTATGAGCCCACGGAGCAGGGGGAGATTTCTCCTGGCGTCTGGCGGGCTGGGGGCTCCCGGGTGTCCGCGCCGAGGCGGGGAGAGCCTATGTGAGCAGACACCCGGGCTGGAGTCAGGTCCTCATCCCACCCGGCTCCCCTCCCCCAGCCTCTCCTTCCACCCAAGGGACGCAGTACCTGTCTCAGACGTGCCGGCCAACGGCCAGGTGGGGAGCTAGAGCATCCTGCGCCGACCCTTCCAGACCTTTCCAGGTCGGGCCGTGCCCTCTGGTTTATCAGACCTCTTGGGGCATAACCGGCAAAGAAGGGGTCTGGGCTCGAGTATCCGTTCCCCTACGGGCTCCCTTCACCCCGGGCGGGGAGGGGAACAGAAAGCCCGTGGGTGTTGGAAGCCGGCAGGGCCAGGTCTCAACCTGCTCGTGCGCCTGCCGGGGCCCTGGGCCAGCGGCGCTGCCACTG